GAGCTCACACTGTTTGTGGGGATTCGAACCGCCAGCCTTCCAATCAGCAAGCCCAAGAGGCTCAGTGGTTTAGACCACAGCGCCACCCGCATCCCCTGTGGTGCAAGCGCCACCCATTACAATTAGGCACATTCTTTCCATAGGGTTTAAAGACAACAGTCTACAATCCAAATACTGGTGTGAACAAGAAGAGAAACACTAGAATGCTTGCATTGATGACTGCTGCTGTGAATGGTCCATATGGGCATCTTGAGTGTTACGTAGATAGCTCATAGACCACGATTTTTTTTTCCTATTTGGACCCATTGTTCTCTTTCTTTCTCTCCCTTCTTCACTTTGGTATTCCTTTTTTTTTTTTTTTTTTTGGGAGAAGGTTGCAAATTCCAAGACAGTGTCCTGGGAGACTGAGATATCCTCCCACTTTTCTTTTTTTTTAAAGAAATGTTGCCATTTCTGATGCAGATTGGTACCCATTTGTTCTTTTGCATTTCGTTATCACTTGATTCCCCCCCCCCCATCCACATCCCAAAGTATGCACATATAGGGATTAAATGAAGATGATGCCGTCTCTAGTCTGCCAAAGTTCATACACTCTACCAGAGTGAGTGTGTTGGTCTTCCTCACTGCACTTCCTAGGTCAGGGTCCATGTTTTTAGAGCGCTAGCCCTTTGACAGGAAGACATGGCCAGACTGCGTCCAATAGAAAAGTGTTGGGAAACTAAGGCAGCCAACTTTCTTTCTGTGCCACAAGCGCAGCTTGGTTTTTCTAGGTGCCGAAATTCCAACAGATCAGAACAGACTATTTATGTACGTGACCATTGCTGCTCGGATGTAACTAGCAGGGCCGGATTTCGGTTTGATGAGGCCCTAAGCTACTGAAGGTACTGGGGTCCTTTATATGTCCAGCTGTCCTTTGTCAACAACAATTTGTTGCTGTTTTTTTGTGTTGAATATATGCTATATGGTAATTTACGGACCTAATAGGTCCATACACAACACAAAACACTGTTGCTGTATGTAGGTTTTATTTTATTTGTTTTTATCTTATATTTTGGAAATGTACACCCAGGTATTTTTTCTTTAATTTTTTTGGGGGCCCCCAAGAGAGTGGGGCCCTAAGCTATAGCTTGTTTAGCTTATACATAAATCCGGCGCTGGTTCCTAGCCCAGAGATGGAAAGAAGACGGAATCCCTACCAGGGAAGAGTGGCAGATTAAGTTGATGGACTATGCCAAAATGGCAAAAATGACCGGAAGAATCAGAAATCAGGAAGAAAGACCAAAATTTTAATAAGGAATGGGGAAAAGATGTAATTTACCCTTAAAACCATTGTCAACAATTAAAGTTATTAGTAGGATTAGAATAAACACTTGTGATTTAATGTTGAATTACGGATGTAATGGAGATTTAATAGATTTGGATTGATAGACAAGATGCAGGAGGAAAAGGTCAATATAAGGATCCACAAAGGGGAGAAGGGGAGTCCAGGAGATTCTTCGGAATTCTCTTTCTATGCTGGTTGATAACTGTTTGTAAATTTCAAAATTTGAAAAAAATAATAATTATAAAATAAAATAAGGGCAGCTTGGTTTGTCAACATTTAGCAGAGGGCCTCCTTGGTAGTGGCGTCCGCCCTGTGGAACGCCCTCCCATCAGATGTCAAGGAAAGAAACAACTTATCTGACTTTTAGAAGACATCTGAAGGAAGCCCTGTTTAGGGAAGTTTTTAATGTTTGATGTTTTATCGTATTTTTAATGTTCTGTTGGGAGCCGCCCGGAGTGGCTGGGGAAACCCAGCTAGACGGGTGGGGTATGAAATAATAATAATTGTTGTTGTTGTTAAAAGGTAGGGTACTTTTGGGGGGAAATCATGGGTAAATATACCCCCAAAAGAGGACATTACGGGAGGCATGCTTTGGTTGGGGGGCAGGTTTCCGCTGGGAGGGGGAGCCTCAGTTAATTGAGTACTTTCAACGCTTTTCAATATTTTTTGTTGATCTAGGGGAGGCAGCTGAACCCCTTGGCTACGCCCATGGGGGCGCGCGTCTGTGCCCTTTTTGCAATATTTATTTCCCCTTGATTGCATGCTTACACGATTTATCTCCCCTTTCCTTCCGAACACACAAACCTGCGAGGCACTCCGCGTTACGCACAGGAGGAAACCCAGCAACCGACCGACCGAGCGCCTCCCGATCCCACTTCCCCTTCCCCTGCGCTCCGCTCCGCCTTGCTCGGGGCCACTTTCCCGACGTTGCTTTGGCAGGTAGACAGCCGTGCCAGGAATGCAGCCAAGCAGGTGCGGAGGGGTGAGGAGCCAGGGAGGGAGGCGGCGCTTCGGCGGGATCTGGGCTGCCCAGGAGCCGACAGCATCACCTCTCCACCCCGGAGAGGATGCCCTTTGGACTGCTGCAAGCTGGCGCAGGACCTTGGCTGCCAAAGCCAGAAAACGTGTCTGGTCGGAATGGCTGGAGACCCGCGAGGAACGCGGACGGCAGCTCAGCGGGGGCGAAGCATCTCCTCTCTCCAAAGAGTCCCCCTGCAGCGCACGGCTTCCCTTCCTTACCTGGCCTCGCGCGTGCGCTCCCCTTCCCCTTTTCTACTCCGTCTCTTTCTGTGCTGTGCCGCAGGTGAGAAGCGAGCCGGGAGGCACCTGAGCATGCTCAGCAGGCGCCCATCTCCGCCTTCCCTCTTCCCGCCCCTCCAGGCGGGGCAAAGATGAGGCGCTTCTGCCCCCGTGCGGCCTTACCCATCTCCAGGCTCATCCACACTCCCCTTTGCCCCACATTTCTTTCTGGTGTTGTAAGAACTCTAAGGTGTCAAATACAGAATGAATATTCATAAATGCGCACATATCTAAATATGTAAACCAAGTGTCTGAAATTGTACAGGCGAGCAATCCTGAAGCCATTTTGACTCTCCCAATGACCTCAAATATTCCTCTGCAGTAAGGGAGGCAAATGGGGAAAGCCTTCTCTGAGGAAAAGCCCCGCGCCCCAGCAGATCACACACAGCCCTCTAGTGGGGAAATAGGAAAACCAAAGGAAATTCCGGCTCCCATGCAACCAACCCTTCTCTTGACATTGCAAAGAAATCCCGTGTACCCTAACATAACAAAAAAGGATCAAGATAAAACAACACAGACTTGTTGGAAGCTAACGTTAAATAATCACAAACTTACCTTCACAATACTTCCCACAAATAGAGGTCACCCATCATATGCTCAAAGAAAAGTAAATATTCCCCAAAAAATCGGAATAGTCACCAGGGGCCTCGTGACAGCAGAAAATATAATCAAGGTAAAATTCCTCCCTCATGATGGGGCCCAAAATAGGGCTACAGTGACTTTTAAGGACGGGCTCTCAATAAACAGACCCTTTCAAATACAGACAATTTCCTGAGGGCTGGCTTGCTTGTGCACTGTTTCTTCGAAAACATCGAAGACCCTTTACCACTTCTAGGAGCACATAGGCCAGCCAGACCAAAAACCAAAACCAGCACTGCAGATTCCTTCCCATCGTCTTTTTGCTTACAAATCCTGTCTTAAGGATGTACAGTGGTACCTCGGGTTACATACACTTCATGTTACATACGCTTCAGGTTACAGACGCTTCAGGTTGCAGACTCCACTAACCCAGAAATATTACCTCGGGTTAAGAACTTTGCTTCAGGATGAGAACAGAAATTGTGCTCCGGCGGCACGGCGGCAGCGGGAGGCCCCATTAGCTAAAGTGGTGCTTCAAGTTAAGAACAGTTTCAGGTTAAGAACAGACCTCCGGAATGAATTAAGTACGTAACCCAAGGTACCACTATATTTGTGTATGAATAGGGTGAGCCTGTGACCTGGATTCAGGAACTAAAGTATTTACCATCACAAAAGAATGGCCAAGCTGCCCAGGTAATGCAGCCAGCGACCATTATCAGGTATCCTGGCAGACAGGATTTCTGCTGAAGACCCGCCTCCTATGATCTATGTATGATGATTTTGGGGTGGTCTTTGACTAAGGGGGTTGCACAATGTCAAAAGTCTTTAAAGGTTCCTGCACACTTTTGTTCAGGATCTCTCTCTCCTTGGAAGGAGGGAAAGGAACGTTGTTGCAACAGAAAAATAAATATCTCCCTTGCTTTCTGCTGGATCCTGCCTCCATCCCTCCTCCTCTGAGCAATCATGGACTTAGGGGACTCAGATTCCCATGGGGAGTTGGGCAGCAAAAGCCCTTTAAATATTTGAAGGTGGGTATCAGATCTCCTCTTAGTTTCCTCTTTTCCAGGCTAAACATACCTAACTCCCTCAACCATTTCTTATAAGGCTTGGTTTCTAGACCCTTTCTCACCTGGGTCCTCTTCCGCTGCACACATTTCAGCTTGCTAATATCCTTCTTAAATTTCAATGCCCAAAACTGGACACAGGACTCCAGGTATTGTCTAATCAAGTCAGAATCAAGTGGTACTTCCCTTGATCTGGACACTATACTTTTGTTGATGCAGCCTAGAATAACATTTGCATTTTTCCTGCTGCATCACACTATTGACTCATGTTAAACTTGCAGCCTACTAAGACCCCTGGATCCTTTTCGCATGTACTACTGGCAAGCCAGGTGTCCCCAATATTATATTGGTGCAGCTGCTTCTTCCTGCCTGAGTGCAGAACCTTACATTTATCCCTTTAGTACCTCCTTCCTCATTTTCCTCTTTCCCACAGCATGAGGGTATGGTCATACCTCATGTTACGTCCGCTTCATGTTACGTTCTTTCAGGTTATGCCCTGTGGCGACCCAGAAGTACTGGAAAGGGTTACTTCCGGGTTTTGTCGCTCGCGCATGGGCAGAAGCACAAAATGACGTCAAGCGCATGCGCAGAGGCGGAGAATCACAACCCGCGTGCGCGCAGACACGCCGCTGCGGGTTGCATTCTTTTCATGTTGCGAACGGGCCTCTGGAACGGATCCCGTTTGCAACCAGAGGTACCAATGTATTGGGTAAGTGTGTCACTCAACACAAAACAACTTTGAAACCATTGTTCTGTATATAATGGAAACTGCTCTGCGTCCATACAGGGCTAGGGTTCCTTTTATATTTCCTGGCAGGGGCGATGGGTGAAGGTGGGGTGGAACAGGTGCTTGCCTCCTGCTCTGCTGCCCTCAGCTTTGGCCGCTCCCTTCTCCTGGGTGGCATGGAAGTGTGGGCAGGCGGGCACCTGCGCTTCAAACATTTGCACTAGCCTGCCCAGGCTCTGACCGATGTTGGCAAGCTCCGAGCGAACACGTCGCACAGCCGGCACCAGCTCCTGCAGCCACAGCGTTTGCTGCTCCTGCACAGCCTTCAGCCTGGCCTCCATGTGGGACAGCTGCTGCTCAAAGTTCTCTTCCTTGTCCCTTGGCTGCCTTTCCCCCACCCCAAGGCAAAGAGGTCTGGGCGCTGGCAAGGAGGAGGGAGACTTCAGCGAGCCAGGTGGCGTGGAGCAGCCGGCCTCTCGCGTTGCACAAAGTGGGGTTCTGGGCCGAGGAGGCCAATCCTCTGGGAAACGGGAGAGGATGCAGCAACTTGTACTCCTGCTTGGAGGCAAAGGGAGCTGAGAGGAAGACTTCTGCGACTGGGCCTTGCTCGGGCCTAAGCGTCCTGACGAGGCTGCTCACTGTCTTCAAGCTGATGGCATCGTCGCTGAGGGAGCTGGACTTGGAGGAATCACTCTGCATGGGGAATGTACTCACGCTCTTGGCAGCAGGACTTGTGTGCGGGTTGGAGACCAGAGAGGAGGAAGAGGAGAGGTCCTCCTCGGAGCAGGACATGGGCAGAACTGGAGCGGCATGGGAGACGTCTAATATCTGAGTTTCGGGTCGGAGAGTCCTGTGCTGCTGCTGCTGCTTCTTCCCTGAGGCTGGGGCTCTGGTGGGAAAGAGGCCTGGTGGTGGAGCAACCATTTTGTGCTTCCACAGAGGTGGCACAAGTTGGGTTTGGACAGCATTCCAAGGCTGCCCTGGGATGGACACCTTCCTTCACTTCCAGGGAAACCCAAGCGGCAGGACACCCAGAGGGGATCGGGTTTTATGCCAGCACCAAGCAGTCGACACAGCTGCTCCAAAGTCTCGGTGTGCCTCTGCCGCTATCCCTGGGAAATGAAAGCAGTTCTGTTAATCCTGCAGCTGCAAGCGACCATAGACTAATCACAAGCAGATCAAAAGGATCTGGTGCCAGTGAAGGGATGGCAGTCAATCGTCTGGTTTTTGCTGCAAAACCATTGCTGCACTTTGGCACTGGCTTTGAATGAATCGGACGACGCTGGGTTTCAAGGTGATAGCTATGACCCCGGGTTGGCGTACTGATTGCTCGGTTGGTGGGGTGCAGCAAAATGCAGCGTTTTTGCTGCAAAACTCTGCAAAACAACTGCAACAGTTTGGCAAAGAGTTTTTTTTTAAAAAAAATTTATTTGCATTTTCAAAAACTGGAACAGAGAGCATATTTAAGCCACCTCCCCCTCCCCCACTTACAACTTTATACCAAATACAGCCTGTATACATATACAGTGGTACCTCAGGTTACATACACTTCAGGTTACAGACTCCGCTAACCCAGAAATAGTACCTCGGGTTAAGAACTTTGCTTCAGGATGAGAACAGAAATTGTGCACCGGCGGTGCGGCAGCAGCGGGAGGCCCCATTAGCTAAAGTGGTGCTTCAGGTTAAGAACAGTTTCAGGTTAAGAACGGACCTCCGGAACGAATTAAGTACTTAACCCAAGGTACCACTGTACCATATGACTTCCCTTCCACCCTTTTCCTGGTTCCTTTGCTATTTGGAGACATCTTCAGTTGACAAACTGTGAATTTACCTCTCAATTGAACTTGAGATTCTGCCCTTATGTGGACCTGCCCTGAATCAATAGCATAAACTGCAAAGGTCGAGGAAGCATTCGGTTGTTCAAAGTGCAATACCAGTCTGTTAGGTAACACCTGATTGGCTGGTTTTATTTGGTTCCTCTCTTCCTTCCTGTCAAATTGTAGATTGTGAGTGCTCAGAGCGAGGGACTTGCCTTTTGTTTTTTTAACTATGTGACAAGAACCAGGCACATTCCTGGTGTTATATAAAGGATAACAGAGCAATTCTAGCTGGGCCAAGTCATTTGCGATGTTCTTTCCAGCTCTAACACGTTGTGCTTTGTTGGTTCTCATAAAATAAAATAAAAAGGATGCGGTGAAACCAAGCTTAGGGGTGGATATTAGAACTGTCATAGTTTAACAGCAACAAAACAACAAAAAGATGTATGTATAAAATACCACAAAACTCAACAAAAAACCCAAACCTGATGTATTATGAAATGAACACTAAGTCGGAACATTCACAATAGGAGCTCAAACTGTTGTTGATTTCACAAATGTTGTGAATTGGCCATCACTCGTTTAATTACCCCATGCCTCTGAGTTATTGGGGAACAATAGTGCTGGCTGCTGCACTCATGGTCTCTGTGTATTTCTCTGGTTGGCACCTGAGGGCAGAGGATGCTGGACTAGATAGGATATTGGACTGATCCAAGTGGGCTCTTAGGTGCTTAAACTTTATTTTGTGTCATATGATCCATCTCAACCGTTAAAGGTGGAGAAATATGGGGTCTTGCCTGATCCAGGAGAATCAGGTTATGTCCATGCTCATGTGGCAGCACTTCTGATGCCATAGATCCCTTAAGCTTGGATTATTCTGTTTCTTTTCTCTCTTTCAAATGCACCCCCCCTTCCAGTGACACTTTGGCAAGCTGTCGCGAGAGAAGCTAGCCACAGCTTGCAAAACTCAGTGTGAGTTTGCTTGCCTTTTTCCACTACCTATTCCAGGAGCCTTGACTTCAGCACTTAGGTGATTTAAACTAGCTCAGGAATTTTCTTTAGTGGGGGTGAGGAATTCCTTGAAGAGACAAGGAGAGCTGTTTTGGCACAGGGGCAAGACCTAGAATAACGTCACTGTGTACTAGAACGATCCTCTTCTTTCAATGTACAATTATGTAAATCTTTGCAATTACGCATGAAAGTTCAAGGCAGCGTGCCCTGCTACAATGTTTTCAGATGACTGCCAAAGAATACTGTTATCTTGCATGACGTTAGAAACCATCTGGCACGGACATTGAAATATATACACTTAGCATTTGGCTTAAAGCTCCAGGTCATGTCCAGGCCTGCCATCCTCTCTCTGAGCAACCTGAATCATTGGGCAAAACATTTTCCAATTCTGGGTGTGAACTCCTGGTTCCTCTCAAGGAAGCGGAGTGCTTCTCCCCAACAGATTGCCCAAGCGCCTCTCCGATTAAGCACAGGATATCCTGCAGGATGTAGGACTGGCATCTTAGCAAGACTCGGGCTCTAAAAAGGAGTTGCAGTAATTGAGACACACTGGCTTTTCGAAGCTAAGCCAGGCAATGGGTTTTCCACTCACTTGAAATAACACCATTCATGTTCTGAGAATGCTTGTTCCTTGGGTGGTTCTGGCCTTAAATTATACTTGTCAGAAAGCACCTGTGCTGTGAGGACAGCATGAATCATACTGCAACCCAAAGCAACATCTGACTGTGTATCCACAAGGAAGCAGGATATCAAATGAGGGCTTAGAATCATGTATGAAATGGAATATCCATCTGTATCGCGATTGGTCAGGCATCTTATTTACAATAATTGATGCTTAAAGCTAGAGTTTTGTCATGGTAACCCCTGAGAGCTGGGGAACAGGAAAAAACTGGGAAATCCTTTTATAAATAAGGATCATTTAACTCTTCTCACTATAATCTCACAGGCAATCCTTACTAAGCAGTGGTGATTATTGTGTGGCTGAAAACTCTGTTCTTGTTTTCATTAGTCTGAATGGGCTGCTTTGTAAAGCTGGGGAGACAGGGTTGTAACAGGCATGTTACTTGCAACCAATAAGGTTACAAACACTCTTCTCTGGGGAAAGATGTGGCCATGTTCCATTTGCAATGTCCTCCTTCAAACGAGATGGTGCCCAAGATACACAATGCCATTAGTCACAACAGTGTCATGCCTCTCTACCCTTGAATAGCAGCCGGACCTTATCCCTAAACTTAATGGCACCAGTGCTTTTTATGTAAGGTGTATTGTGCATTCCGCAGGATCCCATGGGATCTGCTCCATGCTGGTGGTTCTGAGCCATAAGAAAAGCTCAGTTGCTGGTGCAACCATCGCCTGCGTTCTTCATGCATGCAATGATTGTTTTGATATCCAGACATAACACTCCACATCACTGCAGGCATTCAAAGCCATTCAACTCATCCTCCTGCATTCTATCACATCGGAGAAGCAGGAAGGAAAACAGCAAAGAGCAGCTTAAACAGACAACGTCAGGCTAGGTATCTGATCACAGTTCCAAAAACCATGCTGAGGGATCTCAGTTCTGGGTTGTCTAGCACCCAACCACAAACCAGTTTCACTGCGTAGGAAGAGTCCTTCATAAACCCCAAATATAGCACATGCTGGGTATGAAAATCTATCAGTCAAGGTCTACCTTCCACACATATAAATATTATTGGAGTGCATGTCTACCTAACTAGGCTTGTTATTCTGGGGACACATACCCTCTAAATAATTGGAGATTGTCAGCAAACGGGTTTATGCCAAACACTCCAAAAGGTATGCTCTCAATCTGGGATAAGCCCACCTCTGAATCTTGGTTGTGTAAGCAAGCCTAGGAACGTGGCTTGACTAGACCCACTGAGACCCCCAAAGTAGATCATCTTGAAGGACTGGGCAGTGCTAGCTCTTGAACTAAAACATAACGGCCAATGAAAGATCATAAAGTTTGAGAAGAGTCTTGCCTAATTCTTGGGCCAATACCCATTTCTAGAGCTGACCTCTCTGCCCTTCATCCTCACACCTTCCTCTTAAATCTATATGCTGAGGTAATCTCATTTTCTCTTACCTGTGGGTAGCCATGACCATCACCCATCAAGACCTCCCAAAAGTAACCAGCTCTACCTGGCTAAATTTCAAGGCAAATGAGTGGTTGGCAGGCTGGCCAATAGGAGTGGGGGAAAGGAAATTGTGAGAAACCATTGGTCAAAGGCATAATCACCAGCCCATCTGAGGCCACACCCCTCACTGTGAGGTACACAATGGCTCCTGGGAGTACAGGTTTCTGCATGTGAGAGGCTGTTCTGTAGCAAGACGAGAGTGATCACCACTATGTTCAGTCAAAAGGTCATATAAACGCAATAGCTGACCACACCCTCTGAAAAAGCAACACTCCTCTCTGATCCCAGATGTCTTGAGTCAGGTTATTATCACTTACTCAGAAGGGATGTGGGTGGCGCTGTGGTCTAAACCACTGAGCCTCTTGGGCTTGCCGATCAGAAGGTCAAATCCCCTCAACGAAGTGAGCTCCCGTTGCTCTGTCCCAGCTCCTGCCAACCTAGCAGTTTGAAAGCACGCCAGTGCAAGTAGATAAATAGGTACTGCTGTGGCGGGAAGGTAAATGGCGTTTTCATGCGCTCTGGTTTCTGTCACAGTGTTCTGTTGCGCCAGAAGCTGTTTAGTCATGTTGGCCACATGACCCTGAAAGCTGTATGTGGACAAATGCTGGCTCCCTTGACATGAAGCAAGATGAGCGCCACAACTCCAGTTACTTTTGACTGGACTTAACCATGCAGAGGTCCTTTACCTTTACCTTACTTATTCAGAAGTAAAGAGAAACATATTCTTGGAAGATGCTATTATCTTGACCCATTCCAGTCTGGCTTTAGGCCTGCTTTGATCACCTTTATCACAACAGGGGGAATGTGACCCTGTTTCTGTTACCTGATCTCTCAACAGCTTCTGATATATGAATCATGGCATCCTCCAGTATCAGACTCCGTGGGCACTAATTTGTGGCACTGTATTTCAGTGGCTCCACTCCTATCTGCTGGACCATTGACAGAGAATGGCTTTGGTGTCTGTTGGTCTCCTGGCATTTGTCCTTTGAGGTCCTTGAGGGTCCAATCTTGTCCCCAAAGCTTTTAAACGTGCCCTTGAAACCTTTGAGAAAGGCCATCAGGAGATTTAGAGCAAGGTGTCACTAGTGTGCTAATGATACTCTGCTCATTCTCTGTAACATCTGAATCAGTGGACCACTGGAGTCAGTGTCTGGAGTCAGTGATGGGCTGCATGAGGGCTAATACACTGAAGCAGAATCCTGGCAAGATGCCAGCTCTGTGAATGAGTGATTTTTATGGAGGCACAGGAGGCTGCGGAGAAAAGGGGGAGATGGAAAGTCCTGTTCCAGAACATGAACTTTGTTCTAGTCAAAAAAGGAAAGTTAGCATCCAACCTAGGGTCAATATTTTCTGCCAGTTTCTTAATGCTAACATTTCAGAAATTAAAAAAGAAACATGGGAAAATAGTTGACCCCCTACCTTTGCGATGTTACCTAACCAGGATATTTTAAATTCAGGCCACTTTTGTAAATAAGGAATCAGCTGATTTAAGAAAATGCTCTGAATAATAAAAAACTGTGTTTGTTCATAGATCATTCATATTCAAAGCTACACAGATACAAAAGTATTTTCTAGTCAAAGTTAAGACTGCAGCACTTAACAATTTTGGGTTCCCACCCCCAGATTAGTTTGTTTTTTTTTCTTATTAGTGTGATACTCTGATACTTTGCTTAATTGATCTATGAAATTTAAGACCTCTAGGATTGCTTTTGTCATGTTTTTGAAAGAGATCACCAAATCATTTTTATACAAGGAAATTCTGAATTATAGCTGTCTAAAGTTTGTCAAATACTTCTGAACTTGATTAGGTTGCAACTGGTTTGAGAGTTAATTGCAAACAAAGTAAAAAAAGAAAAGAAAAACCTGTCTACTGCCATGTTTATATTGGTTTGTGGCTGTTACATTAGATAAGCTTGCTGAACATTTTGAAATAAACATTACCACTTGACACACTCAAAGGCTTTTTCTGCATCTGTTCATTTTACAAAGGGGTTATGCAAATACAAAGGGGTGCAGAGGCACACCTTTAGCTCTAGCCATGTAGACCCTGTTGTCATGTGGCTTCTTGTGGCTTCCCATGTGTTTGGTCTGCAGTGGGGAGCCTGCTGTACTTGTGTAAGATTCCCCATGCATCAATGGCCATAAGTATACCTCTGAATACCAGTGGCTGGGAATCACAAGTAGGGAGAGGTCTGTTGCACCCAGGTCCAGCTTGTGGGCTTCCCAGAGTCACCTGGTTAGCCACTCTGAGAGCAGGATGCAATACTAGATGGGCCTCTGACTTGATCCAGCAGGGTTCTTATGTTTTATGCAATCTAGAAACCCCACAGTCTTTTTGTACTCGCATTACTCTTTCACACAAGTAACAAATGAATAGGGTTACTATAGGAGTAATCTGCCTGCAATACAGCCCAGTGTCCTATTAGCTTGTTTACTTTGTAAACTTTACTAATTATAAAGATCTTATTGACCTGATTTGACAATTGTACAGCTAGAGGATTTCGTCATTGTGGGGTTTCCCTTTTTCTTATATAGTAATTAAATCATTGCTTCATTCCAAGTATTTGGAACTGGGATGTTGTTGCAGACATGCATTTAATAGATTAATTCCTAGAAATAAGCGAAATATCTATAAGAGTCTTACATTGTTTAGTTAGAAGGTCATCTGATCCAGGTGCTTTGTTTACCTTCAGACTCTTTATAGACTCCATAGACTTTTTCACAAGACAACTAAAATATTGCTGTTTCCTTTGGGTTTTCATGGGGAAATGGGGGGGGGGAGGATCTGGAAAGTCTGGATCTGTGCCTAGAAATGCAGTGCAAAGGTAAGTTTGGATGAGCCTCATGTATATATCACAGAGTTTTTGTGAGAAGAAAATGGGGAATGAGGAAATCAATCTGGCCCATATACCCAACTCCAGCATAACTCTAGTGGGACTATAAACTCCAAAACTGATCTCCCAGCTGAGTAATTTGTGACTCTTCTTGAGCAAATTGCAATTCAGATGGGATGCTTAATGCAGGAGTCATATATCAGTCCAAGCTTTAATCCCGATAAATACTGTAAATATATATTATCAATGTTTGTTCTTGTAGGGAAAAGCTTATTGTTCGAAGAACTGAGCCATGTTTTAAAGTTTAACAGTTATTGGTTCCTTTAACATTTAGCATCTAAACTTTATTTTACTTATGACACAGTCTAAAAAAACCAATAAAAGAAAAGAATATTTAAATTAGGCCATATAATTGACTGAGATTTGTTCATGTCTGTCCTTATGTAAGCTTCTAAGGCTTCAGAAATCAGAATTATTTTCTGTAATTTTCTATGTTTTTGATTCATTGTTCTGAAACTGTGCTTCTGTCACATCTGATTTGCCTAAGGTTACAGTTCTGTACTTGGAACAGGAGTAACCCCACTGAACTCAGTGGAGCAACATTGTGCCGCAATAAATTCCTCTGTTTCCTCTTTATCCTTGGTGTTCTCGTTCTTCGCACACGTATTTCAAAAGGGAATCCCCATTTTTACTTAATCTTCCCTTTAATCTCACAGTGCGATATTTGAAACCGGTCTTCTCGTAAAGTTATCAGCAACCTAGTTGCCAAAAAGACCCCCAAATACTGGAAATGTTGACCTTTCAATGTCAGGTCTCCCAAACAGCTGATATTATTGCTATGGGACAGCCAAAGAGACAAATATCTGTTTAACGTTTTCCTTCATGTTAGCACTGGATCAGGGGTCAGCAAACATTTTCATCAGGGGGCTGGTCCACTGTCCCTCAGACCTTGTGGGGGGCCAGACTATATTTTGAAAAATATAAATACAGTGGTACCTCGGGTTACAGATGCTTCAGGTTACAGATGCTTCCAGTTACAGACTCCGCTAACCCAGAAATAGTACCTCGGGTTAAGAACTTTGCTTCAGGATGAGAACAGAAATCGCACAGCAGCGGTGTGGCGGCAGCGGGAGGCCCCATTAGCTAAAGTGGTGCTTCAGGTTAAGAACGGACCTTCAGAATGAATTCAGTTCTTAAACTGAGGTACGACTGTACCCTGCAAGCCAGTCTCACAGCTGCTTCCGGACCTGGAGGAGGAACACACTCTGCACGTGCTCAGGAGGACGTCTCGGCGGTGCCTGCTCACCGGCATTGATGAGCAGCAGCCGCTCCATCGGCCCGTCTCCATGGAGCTCCCAGGTGGCGTGTGTTATGTACTGAAGTTCTCACCCTGGGCCAGCAGGGGGATACTGTAGATAGTTCAGGTCCACATATGCAAATAAGGGATCAAAAGTGACGTTCAGTGATTGGATAGTTACAGAAAATGGTTACTGTTGCGTTCTAGTGGAGCTCTATATAAGCAGGCTGCCTGAACCCTTCAGTTCAGTTCTGTTCTGGCCTGTGAATAAACAAGAGCTGTTTGAAGAATCGCTGTGTCGTCTGATATGTTCACCCACAATTTAACAGTGTGCACCATGTGCTGCCACCTGTCATCTGAGGTCAGGTCGTTGAGCGGTGCCGACAAGCACTCCACCAGCAGCGGCGCTAAGTCGGGTGCCAGGCACGGGGCCAGCAGGCACGCCAAGCTCTGATTGAAGCCCCGTGATGCGCCCGTCATGATGCCCAGACCTGCTGCCCGTCCGCCGGTCTCTCTGTCCATGGCTGTGCCAGGTTTACCTCAGTGCATGGGCAACGAGGCTTTGGATTGGCTGCAGGAACTTCCTGCAGCCAATCCGAAGTTGTGCCAGCGTCGCTGCCCACCCAGAGGCATCCGCCGCTTTGGATTGGCTACAGGAGCTTCCTGCAGCCAATCTGAAGCTGTGCCAGCATGACGGAAGTCAGTCCCCGTGTGGCGAGGCGTCTGCGGCTTCTTTTCAGGGAAATGCCGTGCTGCGCTGGTTTATCTGAGTGTGGGGACTAACCGAGTGGGTGGCAGGGTTTGCAGGCCGGATTTACGAGGCTGGTGGGCCACATCCGGCCCCCGGACCGTAGTTTGCTGACCTCTGCACTGCATGAATACCATATGCTGTTCAAAGTCTGATCCCAGCATTCACAAGAAGAGATATCTGCATGAAATCCTTTGGGAAGAAGGGTAATAATAA